ATTAGATCTCTATTGGCATTGTTAGTTACTTCTGTAGGTCATTGTCTTCTGATTTCTATATTTGTTTTGGATCTTTACACTCAATTTGGCTTCTTGAGTAGAAAAATGAACATATAACTGGTCTATGTTAATTTTATTCTGATTAGCAGATACTTTTCATGTAATTACATGGTTTTTACACTATAAAATAATGTATGAATTTAGGTTTATTACTTATAACTTTCAGGGTTCAATCACTCTACATAAATTTGCCAATGTCCAGATCTGGCAAACTGAATGATGTGATCAATACTAAGATCCCCTTCTGCCTTAAAATTTCTGAATTAATATTTTTAATTAAAAAATACAAATAAAAATTCAATGTTGTATTTATTAGGTATTAATCAAAAATGCATGGGGACTGTAGAGACATCGTTATAACAAATTCTAATTTTACATTCTTCACAAAAGTCTTTAGGGAAAATAAAATTGTCCATATTTTTTTGAATCATGGCTTCTTAGGGAAACACAGAAAATGTGAGAAGGGCATGAAAAAAATATAGAACTGAGACAAAATAACAGGTTTACTCCAAGTTTACAAGTAGCAATATTTAATGCTTTGATATAATTCCTCTTTATTACAAAGAACAACTATCAAATAAATCACTGTGTGGAAAAGAATTGATCTGGGAATCAACTGGGAAGGAAAATCACAAAGAAGTGATTGTGAAGACATTCATTTCTTCTTCAGATATGTAACTGTTTAATCTGAAATAAACTTTACGATGGAAAACTATTAGGAAAGTTTCTTGCTTAATTTTGCCGTTCTACACTCTGATATTGATTGTTCAGGATTATTGAGCACACATGCTGTCATAAGAATTGTATATAATTTACTATATATACTCACATATGATAGACATTAAAGGATATATGTGTCTAGTAATAGCAGATGCATGTTTCTGCCCACTAAAGAAATGGTTACAGCTTTTAATAAATATGGCTAAGGGAATTATGTTAAGATTATGCGTGTGTATGCACATATTTGTTCTGGATTTCAACTGAGTATACAAAATTATTATCTTACACCACTTGCATTGGGATCTTCAGTTTTTCCTTCAACAAGCGAATTATTAATCACATATTTAATTTTAGAGTATTATTGTGGTAGGACTCGCCAGTTTCTTGCTACAACATTTACTCATACCTTTCTCTTTAGAAACAAACCGGAGTTTTTATATTGCTTCCCATAATAAAAAACATATTGCCTTCCAGATTTTGCAGCTAAATTTGGCTATGGACTAAATTCTGGCCTTGAGCTCTTTAAGAGAGATACTTGTGAGAGTTCTCTGAAGATTGGTTAAAGGAAACTAACTCAGATGGAAGGTCCATTTGCCCACCTGACCTTCCTCTTAGGTTTTAGCCTGAAAATCAGTGGTGATGGCTGGAGAGCCAATAGCTATCTTGGAACATGACGTGATTCTGAAGGTGGGAAGCAAGGCTGGCATGGTACAGAAAAAAGGTGGGAACTTGGGTCCTTGAGAAAATTGTGGAGCCACCATATCTACCTGTAATTCCTACTTTCAGACTTATTTCTATGTGTGAGAGATTTATCTTAAGTCATTGTTATTTTTGTTGTTAATATTGTTGTTGTTAAGCTAGCATTCTAGCTGAGCTCAAGCTAGGACTCAGAGTCTGGTTATATCTGACAGCCCCTGGATCAGCATCCCTCAATGCCAACTATTGAATGTAATGGGTTAATGGTGAATGGAATCTATTTCATGTAACAAAGAACAACTTGTTATGCCCAAATATGACGAGGTCATATTGCTCTTATTTCTCTCTAACTTGAGATTTGGGTCCATGTTCTCTATAAGGACTTAGAAATTGATGCTATGGTATTCTGGTTTTGTGTTAGGATGGTCACTGTAAATCTACTTAATAGTAAAAATAAAATCTTGCTTGGAATTGTGAATTAAATGAATTCTTCATTGTGCAGAAACAGGAACAGCATTATATTTTGTATGTAATACTCTTAAACAGTCAATTCATTTATTCGATTAATATTTTTGAGCTATTATGGATTACATAAGTTATGGAGGGGCTTTGTTATTTAGTCAATTCATGTCCAGTATCACAGGGGCCAGTTCTGAATTTGGAGGAAAGAGAAGAAAAGAAAAATTAAAGCAAATGACAAAAGTCTAAATATTTTCCTCAAATAATTATCTTTTTTTTCTTAATTTCTTGTGTTTACAGACTGGAATTTAAGCTGCATTTTTCTAGATGGCACCAGCCTATTGGTACATATATTAATGTCAAACAGTAATGCTCAAATCACATGGGTTCACAGTTGTCTCTACATAATTTATTAAGTATTCTTGCCACAAAGTCTCCCCCTCTTTTCTGGGAGACCTGGGGGAAGGGTCTCACATGTCCTTATGACCAGTTTGCTCACATTACTCATTTACTAGCCACCCTCGTGCTTACAAGATCCTTCATGTAGGAGCTCCACCATTCTGTCTCATGTCAGGATCTTCCAATAGGACACTGCTGTCCTGTAACAAGGCCATATACATGTTCTTTCTAGGTTACAATTTCCCACACTGCTAAATGATGTTGCATTTACTTTAAACTGTACCCTACTGGGGACTGACTTATTCTATAGAAATGAGGTGACTATTTCCCTAGCAACTCTGTCAGCCTGAAGTACTACTGCTTATGTCCTGAGTATCATAAAGTCTCTTATGGAAACATTTCTTTGTGTCCTTACTTATAGTCCTGAAGCACGCATCTTTCATTGTGCTTTATCTCTTGTGTCTCTGTTGGAGGCACCCGGGGTATGAAGTTTTATCCCAGCAGTTATTTATTCCCTGTGCACATTTACTTTTTCTAATAATTGGCAGGGAGGACTTCTACTGCCCCATCAGTTTATCAGACAAAACCAAACTCTGAATCCGAGTTTGAGCTCAACTGGGAACCCTGCTACACCAGAACTTAACTTGGATTCCAGATTGCTTGATAAAATAGCTAGCTGACAATAAGCTATAATTTCTTGACTACACACACACACACACGTACATACACGTACATATGTACATACACGTACATATGTACATACAGCAGTTCCCCTCATCCACAGGATATGCCCAAACCCACAGTGCATGCTTGAAATCTCAGAAAATACTGAACCCTATATATACTATGAGTATTCTAATACATATATAGCTATGGTAAGTTTAATTTATGAATAGTCACAGTAAGAGATTAATAACAATAACTATTAATACAATAATAATATGCTACAATAAAAGTTATATAAATGTGGTATTTTTCTCTTTCTCAAAATATCTTATTGTACTATACTCACCTATTTTCAAACCCTGCTTGTCCACAGGTAACTAGAACCAAGGAAAGTGAGATGGCAAATAAGTGGTGAGGAATGCTACCATATCTCACATACATATATTTCAAAATATGTCAAACTATACACTTAAAAACTTATAATTTATATCAACATGATATGCTTGATACCATAGGCAATGCCATTTTCTCATTAAGTCATTTCTTTCAGTTGCAAAACACCATATAAAAGGAGTGGCATATGCTATAACATGTATTTTGGGTATTTTACATTTACCCAGATATGAATATAAGTGATATACTTAGTTATAATGTTCCCTTAAGCCACTGTTTTGCTACATGCTTCTATACATTGATTCTTCTAAAATTTATTTTAAAGGTAACACAGTTTTTTTCTTTTACAGCCTCCCCTTAGTAAATGTAGCTACTACGACTATGAGTAAAGGAGACATGGATGGGTGGAGGAGATATGGAGAGGCCAGCACTTTTCTAGATAAATGCAACGTGAAAACAAGGAACTACTCTTTAATTACTGGCACAGAAATAATGACAAGGAAACAAAATTACTTCCTGAATCACACTTTATCACCTGACTGGTTGCAAAGGCACATTTTTTTTTTTTCTGTTTTCGACAAATTAAAATCTTAACCATGTAAATTCAAGGCTGTAAAGGACAACTCAGGATCCTTCACAGTAATAATCACAGTATTAAAATTCTTATTTGCTAGAAAGTGGTTAGAACCATTGAGAAACATTTTATCAGGTTACGTGGTTAGAGAAAGATTTGAAAAAACAAAATCAAAAACAAAAAACTCATTGTAAAATATCAGAACACCTGAGATGTCCAAGCTGTGAAGTGTAATACACGCTATCAACTGTAGTGGAAAGAAAGTTCCAAAGTATGAAGTACAGAGCAATTGTTGGTAGCATGAGTGGTGGGATTGAAGTAAACTGAAATAAATGGAAGGCGTTTGTTTAATCTACGATCTTGTTGAAAGACAAGTCCCAGCACAGTAGCTTTCTCTTTTAAAGACTAGCCAGATGTCGGCCTTCTTAAGAGCACAAAGAATGGAACCACAGAAAGAGATAACAACGCTGGTAGAGAACGGCAGCTACAGTAAGGTTGTTTTTAAATGGATAGAAATCTATATAAAGGTGACTCCGACAAAACATAACAGCTGTCTCCTCCTCAGTCATTTAGGCAGACACTTGCACTAAGTAAAAAGGTGCAAGGTATTTATCAGCAATTCCCATTATCTGGTACTTTTATTGCTCTGGCATGATTAGCAGAGACTACTTGGCCAGCGTTGGCAACTATTTGCTTTTTCGTCAGCCTGATGTTTGGTCTGCAACCCCTCTAAAACTAACAGCAAAAGAGAAACTCAGAAACTTAGGAAGTTCTAGTTGGCAGGCTGGTGTCACCCTTAGCCTACTCTCTGTGAGCTATATTCCGCATTTTAGAAGCTCGCTGGCTGTTGCTCTTTTTGATAGCCAACAAGAAGCAACGTCATAGACCTGTTTGGCTGCTGTCCTGGGTAGAAGGGTTTGGCAGCCCTAGGGAGATGAATTTCTCCAGCGTTGGACCCGCCCAGAGCAGAGAAGCAACACCCTTCCAGCCACTACTCTGTTGCTATGAAACAAAAGACTAGGAAGGTAAGCGAAGCAGGAAGTCCCGCCTTTCAGCCCCAGACGGCTTTGGCTCCCGTTCCCGACGCTCACGCCCACCTGCCACCCCTTATTGGTTAGCTCCTTCGTGCCTTGCATCCCTTCTTCCATTTCCTTTCCCGTTTCCACTTTCGTTCCCAGGCGAGTCCAGGCCCCTCATTTCTCTCCGAGTCCAATTCCTTTCTGACGTGCTGCGAGCGGGCCTTCCTCTGGGGCCATTGTGTACTGTGGAGGACGTGGACGGGGCGGCAGCGCGAGGAGGACGGACGCCTCCCACCCATTGGCTGCACCCGCTGTCGGGCAGTGCGCGGGTGTGCGGCATTGGCCCAGCGGCGCGCGGCCCCGCCCCCGCCCCGCCCCGAGCCTGGGTCCTGTGTGTGCCACAGGGGTGGGGTGTCCAGCGAGCGGTCTCCTCCTCCTGCTAGTGCTGCTGCGGCGTCCCGCGGCCTCCCCGAGTCGGGCGGGAGGGGAGAGCGGGTGTGGATTTGTCTTGACGGTAATTGTTGCGTTTCCACGTCTCGGAGGCCTGCGCGCTGGGTTGCTCCTTCTTCGGGAGCGAGCTGTTTCAGCGATCCCACTCCCCGCCGGGGCTCCCCACACACACTGGGCTGCGTGCGTGTGGAGTGGGACCCGCGCACACGCGTGTCTCTGGACAGCTACGGCGCCGAAAGGCAAGGAGGGAAGGGGTCGCCGGGGAGGCTCCACACTTCTTACCGGCTCGGGGGTCCTGGGGTAGCCAGGCGCGGGCCAAGGAGGAAGAGGGGACAGCCCCGGCTCTCAGCTACAGCTGCTGTTGCCGCCGCCGTCCAGTTTGAAGTGGGGCGTTTAAAGACCAGAACCCGCAGGCCGGGGAGGAGGAGACGGAGTCCAGGCAGACGGCGGTGGGGATTGCAGCAGGCGGCCGGGAGGCGCGTCCACCCAGGCGCCGAGCACACAGTGTCCCTCCCGCGCCCGAGACGGACGGGGCTGCGGGCACGGGAGGGACACTTTGTCTCCTCCCCGTCCACTTTCTTCCCGCAGCTCAGAGCCGAGGGGCCAGGAAGGGGCTTGAGCGGGGAAGGGACACAGGCGTCCTGAAACAAAGCTTTGGGTGAGAGCAGAGGCGAGGAGCGAGAGAAGTGAACTCCTCCTTTCCGTGGCCGCTCTTGTCAGTGTCTCTCCGTCTCTTTTCAAATGGGCTATTTGTGTGTTATTTCATTTGGTTCTTGGGAATAACGACCCACCGCGTTGATTTAAAGAAATGTGTTCGTGTGTCCGTACTTGGTGGTTTTAGTGTGGGACATGTCGTGCGCCTTTGTTGACAACAGAGCTGTCCCTTACGTTTGTGTAGAATAATCTTTATGTTTATATAACTTGGAGAAATCTAAGAGAGTGAAAGTGAAGTTTCTGCGTAAGGCTCCCAAAATGTATGATAGGAGCTTCAGTTGTTCTGGTATTTTGAATTGGAATTAAAGCAGGAGGGGAAGAACATTCTGTTTTTTATCTAGGAAACCTGTTTAAGTTTTGTTTTATGAGTTGGGTATTAGTTCAGCCTTAGCTACTTGAAACGTGAGCAGGGTGCATCTTTAACTCTTAGTATTGTAAAAGCAAATCTAGGATCATTGCTCCTAAAACTACTGTGTTTAAAGATTGAGAGTGTAAATTCACAAGCTTATTGATGAAAATGAATGTGGAACTTTTGGTTTTGCCCTCACGGATGGAGGAAGATACAGTGGGTACAAGTTAGTCTCTTTAGTTTTCTGGTGGTAAGTATTTTCGAAATCAACTAACTTTTCTTTTTTTAAATCTGCCTTTTAAAGAACTAAAATTCCAGATGGCAAACTCAATGAATGGCAGAAACCCTGGTGGTCGAGGAGGAAATCCCCGAAAAGGTCGAATTTTGGGTATTATTGATGCTATTCAGGATGCAGTTGGACCCCCTAAGCAAGCTGCAGCAGATCGCAGGACCGTGGAGAAGACTTGGAAACTCATGGACAAAGTGGTAAGTTCTGTCTGACGTTGCCTGTGCGAAACACTATTCACTTTGTCTGTGGTTTCTCCAGATTTATTTATACAGTTAATTAATACCAACCATTGTTATGGCAACAGTCTTTTGATTTCAATTCATCATTTTTCTTACTTCAACTCTGTGTTTTTTGAAAAGTTGGATTCAAAGACTTTTTTTTTTTTTAACCTTTTGTCCTTTCTACTCTTTAAGGTTCACAGTTCCTCTACATGACTCTGTATGCAGAATTTTACCATTGGCTGCTTTTTGTTGGTGTATGGCCATAGAATGTTTGGAAGTGTTTGTTCTGTCTTCTGTGAGGTTGTGTTGCTCTTAGATAACAAAAGAGTACAAGCAGGTTATTTAAGCCTTTGATGGACCACTCATGGCAATCATCTGGTGTGATACTGAAAATATTTACTGGGGAAAGAAACAGATTAGTTCTTTTTTAAATTTTTTTCCTTTTTTTGTTACTTCGTCCACTGAAGTCTTGAACCCCTCAAAGTCATCCAGAAACAGGTTAGTTCTTAAGTGTAGAGGCAGTATTTGAGGGAGTTTCCATTTTCATCTTTGAGAATTCATCTTCATTAAGAAACTTTTTTTGTTGTTAATGGGAGAGTTAACAGTTTCTTTCATCTACTATTCCATTTTGAAACAGGAAACCTTTCGATGGCACATTGTTTATTGTGAAAGGAAAATTTATGTTGGGGGTGGTGAAGCTGAGAGTATCAGAAACCTCTGTGGTTTCTGCATGTTGCTTTCAGACAAACTATAATTTCACAAGAAGAAATCAAGATGGGTGTCAGTATCCAGAGAAGTCAATCTGAATACCTTACAGAGATTTACTCAGAAACTGTAGCTGTCAGTATCCTACTTTACTAAGTATGATTATAAAATAAATTTAAGATGTAGCTTGCGGCTTTGCAAAAATTAATAATTCTTTTTTCTTGAAGCAGTAGCACTGTCCTGTATTTATTCGTAAATGTTTGTAACACATTATGTCTTTATTTCGTAGATATCTGGGGCTAATTATAAGTTTAGTTGAAGCAAGACTTGGTATGTTTATAACTGAAGAAATGGAGGTTTTAAAAAAAAATTCCTTTATAGGGATGTGCCAAAGCATCCATGAAATCATATGGTAACATTCATCTTTGCTTTGATTTGCTCCTGTCTGCAAATATTGGCTATAAAAAGCCACTATCAGTAGTAGTAGTAGTAGCAATACACGAATGTGACAAGATTTCCTTTATTTCCATTTATTCTGATGGAAAGGACACATAGATGAATGACTGGCCTGTCATTCTACAGGCAGTGGTGCTAAATGCAGAGCCAGAATATTTTTGCCAGATAAATAGCCTTAGTTTTGGGCTTCAGTGTGACCTATTTAAGCTTCTGCCAATTTATTCAAATTGTTATATTAAAGTGCTCCAGACAGAATGATGTCATAGTGTCAAAATATTGCAACTTGCTGCTTGGGGTTGAGTTTTGATTTTAGCATTGGATACTTTAGAATAAGGACTATTCAATTGGAAAAATAGCACATATTTGGCAAGCACAATGCTGCCTATCTTTTCTTTGCTAACGAGTGTGCATTTGAAGGTCACTCTCACTGCCTAAATCATTAGTTGGGGTAAGAGAAGGAATTCAAGGTTTTTCTCTAACTTACCTGCTACATAAGTGGACAGCAAATGGTTCAGATTCTATAAAGGGGCTGTTCTTTTTCCCCCACCCTCCATCTTTGAGTGGTCAGTGTTTGTACATTTGTGAGTGTTAGGACATCAAATCAAAAAGATTTATATAAGGAAGTGGTGAGCTGTAGTTACTATAAAATCATTTTTGAAACATTAAAAATGATGTACACGATTTTGGTCTATAACTGGTTGTTAACCTAAGTTTTATTCACTTTTAATTATTTCACCATGAGTTATGGTACAATAGATGGCTATTTGATAGTTAAACATCTGCTATTATTTATTTTATTAACCCTTTTGTGGGTTTAGGTTTAGTCTCTCCAATTGAGAAACTTGACTCAACAAGGAAATCTATTATCAAAAGTCTCTACTTAGTGGGATGTGGGTGCGGGTGTTGGCAAATGTACATTGCCTGTTTATCTTCATTATTTGTCAAAGATGAAAATGGTTGTGTTCATTTGTGAATGTACCCAGGGGCTTTGTGGAGAGAAATCACATAAATTATTATGAAAGAATTCAATATGTTTATTTTTACTCTAAGATACAGTAAATAGAAAGGCATTGATAATTACTAATTGGCAGTATATTTTATTTAAGTGTGTAGTGCAGAAACATCTTCCTCTTTTGTTTATCTTTTCTTATTTGTTAGTGGTGAAGGAAGTGGCTCATAATATCAACATTATCCTGATGATTACATCAGGGGCTTTATTATTAGTTCTGAAGTTAATCCCTTGACGCATTACCTTTTTTAAAAAAATAACTGCGATAGCATGAATTTAGTTTGTGGATAACAGAAAATAGCAACTTTCACGTCTAATTGGTAGGTATGTAAAAGGCGGAGTTAAGTGTATAGTTACTATTTTTTTCTTGTGATGCCTCTTTGCAAGGGTAGATCTTGGAAGTACAAATATGAACACAAACTTCAATTTCAGTTTTTTCCAGCCACCAATAAAGGCAGATAACTGTTTTTACAGGGAATAATGAAGCAGTCTTGGGTTGTAGGGTAATTATCTAATAGGTATGTAGTTTTACCATTTCTTGGCCTCTGGAATTTAAAATGGTCAATTGAAATTCTTTCCAATTAATGTTCTGTTTTCAGAGGGCAGGCTTTTTCTCTAAGGTCACTGAGAATAGGAGAACGTAATTGCTCAGTTGTCTCCTTATAAGATGTAGAGTGTTTTCTAACAGAAAATCAGTAGCACAGAGTTAGCACAGTCCATGTTTTGAGGAAAAGAATAGTAGATAGTAGCACATCCCAAAACGTCCCATTTAAACAGATTTTCTGGCCTTAGCTCTGTGTGTCAGTGTCATTTGCTAGCTGACCCGAAAGCCCTCACATCAGTGGATGCTTATTTGATACAGTGATGGAAGTAGTAATCATGAATACATATCTAGGGTCAGGTGTGCCCGGAATGAAATATGGAGTCTGTTCTGAAGCTACTCAAGAGACAAGGTTTCTTAAACACTTAATAAACATTTTTTGAAGGCTTCCTGTGTTTCCACTGAGTGCTTGTTACTGGGGATATGAAGCTAGACAAGACATAATCCCGCCTTTGACCTGTCGAGGAACTCAGAGAACACATAAATGGATAATTGCCATGTAGTATGGGAAGGGCTGTATTACAAACCCAAAGTACAGTGGGAACAGAATAGAGAACATCCTCCTTGTTTTTCTGGCCAGTGTTCAGACAGTTTTCTTTCTGGATTCTGCTGGCCATTGCCTTTTAGGAACAGCATTAGTGTGTTCTTGTTGGAAATGCTGAGGTGAGAGTAAGGAAGTGATTGCTAATCAGTATGGTTGGAATGATAATTTATTAATGTGAGGTTCCTGAGCATGGTTTTCACGAGAATCTTAGCCAGGTGATGGAAAATAGAAGAAACAATTTTCCATCTAATAGATGCTAAATATACTGAGCATATGTGGGTGCTCCGGAAATTAGAAAATAATTAATTGATGCTAAAGAGCAAAGCACGCTGAGTACCTGCCTCAAATTTTTGTCTTGCTGTCCTTGTCAATTTTTTTAAATTGCATTACCGAAAGAATTTAAAAAGCACTTAGGAAGTGGTGATGCCCATTAGGTTTTTTCTGCCTTTTGCCTTCAGTCTAGTTAGTACATTTTTCAAGCTTGAAATATAATTCGTACTCTTTTTAATTTCATTGTGATAATAATATATTTTAAAGTTTGTCAATCAAGGATGCTTGGATGACATACAGATATTTTAAAGAACACAAGTAAACTTTCTTTTCTAAGCTGAGTTCCTCATACCTCTGAAAGATATTCCATGTGGAGTAAAAGAGGTTTTAGATGCCTGTTGTTTGTGTTTACTGATTTGGAGACTCTTACCTTCCTAGAGCCGTAAAACAGGGGATATCATTCATTTGAATTATACTTCTTGACCTATTTCCTTTTCCTCACTAAAGTTGTTCCACCTTAACAGAATCAATGGATCCTAGTAGACTTGGTTAGGGGATAATAACAAATCGTCTGGACAGTTTTGTTTAGTACTCAATTCAGTTTTGAATTTGTATTGTAGTAAGTGAAGTGATCGCAAAGTCTGGTACATGACTTCTAAGAAAAGCTTGATAAAGTAAAAGATTTAAAGGAATCCTACCAAGACTTACCTTGATTTGTCCCTGCGATATAAAGCAGTCACATAATATAGGCCTTAATCAGTTAGTAATCTTTTAACTATTAAAAAATGTTTAGCTTTCAGATTTTGAATCTATTTCTTTCTTCTTTTTAAAAGGTGCTTTTTGTGCTGTCTATTGATTTCATCATTCATTTATCAAATCTCAACTATGGAAAGATAGGCCTTTCCAAACAGCTATGCCATAGAGTAAAATGTAATAAGTGCTTTAAGGTGGTATAAATAAAGTGCTGCGATGTAGTACGTGGCGGAGGTGAACCGTTGCTTGCTAAGGGTGAAAAGTTGGTGTAAAATGAAGCATGGAAGAGGTACTGTCTCGTTCATGGGCGGGATTCCAGTGAGATGGAGGACATGTTAGGTTGAAGGAATGATAGATTGTTGAGTAAGAGAGGGGAAGTTAGGGGAAGATGATAGAGGTTTGGCTTTTGTCAAAGAATTTTGTCTTAATTTATTTGGTAGAAAACCATTGGAGGCTCTTAATCAGGGAGGGAAAACATCAGAGCTGTGCTTTGATAGAGTACTTACTTGACTCTGCAAAGCTTGGATTAAGAGAAAAAAACTGAAAGCAAGAGTAATGATTGAGGAATTAAAACAGTCTGGGCAAGAAATAATGAAATGCTGGCCTAGATAATTGGAAGTAGGTATAGCAAGTGTTGG